CTCGTAATGTCCGATAAATTGTCCCACCTCATCATTACAACGGTATGTGTGTTTATAGAAATGTTAATAGTCGATTATAATATTTCATTACCTAATTGAACTGCATTTGAAACTGTATTTAACTGTTTAAATCGTACCTTATAATTGATAGTTTAAAATTATCTATATTTTATCGAAAAATTAGTTCTTTTTTAGATTGTGAGTGGAGGGTCGATTATGGTTTTATAAAGAAGTTTATTATTTCATTTTTTTTTTTTTTTTTATCTATGCGTGACTTTTCTACCAGAAGACTTGCTCCGATTTTTAAGTGTAGCATCTTTTTTGAAAGGAAATTGGTATAGGGGGGTACTTTAAGGACATCTTTTTTTTCGATTTTCTCAGGAGTTTTCTCATCAAATTTGAAAAACCGAAAAAAAAAAACGGTTAAATATAAGAAATTTAGGTATAAAATAAAATGTATTTTTCCTTCTTTTTTCTGTGTACAACTTTTCCACCAGTCTTTTTTAAGTTAATGTTATTCGCATGATTAAATTTTATTTCGTATTCAAAATTTTAAATAACGTTTGTTTTTAATGTATTATAATAATAATAGCGTGGTATAAATAAAAAAAATTGCACGAATTGATTTGTTTTCCACTCGTTTAAATACTGCAGTAAAACAAAATTCCAGTCTGTAATTTAGCGCGTAGTCTCTCTAAATTGACGCACTTTGCCAAAAGCTATACACACATTCTTGGCATCAAAAGTGTAAGCATAAGATTGTGGAAAAAAATTGGTTGTTTTTTATTCATTTTAAATTGTTCAATAAAACGTAATAACGTATTTTATAAATTATAATAATAATACACACTATTACGTACGTAAGGAAAAAAAACAAATTTTTATCAAATTTTTTAATTTTATTTGTTTTCAATGATAATATAATTTATTATCTTTTAGAATTTCAATTATTATAAACCGTATCTATACAGTAAGCTGAGTACACTAATAAAAAAAAAATCAAGTCGTATTTTATTCGTAAATGATTTCGGTTAAGTAGACGAGACATTTTTTTTAAATAAAAAACGTACACTCATCGTTGTATATATCAGATAATATATAATCAATGTTTTCAAATAAACAAAAAGAATGAAAAAAAAAATTAAAACATTATTTACCTTGTTCGAAAAACGAATTCTTATTCAAATACTGAAAATACATTTTTTTTTTTCGCTAAATTATTATTATTCGAAAATATTATGTTTCGTAATATACTGTAATATTATTAATTGAAAATAATATGAATTTCGATTATTTCCTCCTCCCGGCGGACAAATATTATTATGATTTCGGAAAAAAACGGGATTTCTGTATAATTTCAATTTCAATAAAATGATACGCACTATCAAAACGCGAGCGTATCAAATTTATTCATTCTTTTTCCCCGAACGACACGTTTATATTGTTTATATTTCATGTTTAATATTAGGCGCGTATAAGATACGGTCGAGTTTAGATTAAAAAGACTATACGAAAACGATATTAAAATAATAATAATAATAGTACCTGACACATATTACAAAAATACTGTGTAAGTGACTCGAACGTAGAAAAATTATGACGCGTCAGCTGCGTTTATAATTATATGTCATGGAAGAAGTCGTAACAGGAGCGAGGGGATAGGGTCGGATATAATATTTAGGACGTACACTTACAGTTTAAAGGTGAGAAATACGATTGAAACGATTATAAAAGTCACGCCTGTACCTATTTACTCATACGGTTAACACGAATACTATTAAAATAACGTAAAATCATTGATATTGTGTTGTCGTCTGTATAACTTCTTTATTGTGTAGAGTTTTAAAGGATTTTAAGTACTGAACTTGAGTGCACTCGATTTAGTATAATAGTTTGCGTCCTTTTCTTTAACCCCGAATCCGTCAAATTATTTAATCAAATCGTCCCTGCACACAAAACCTCTCAGTCTATTATTATCTATTACGCGGAGCGCATTGAATTTCCCGGCGACTACATATGTGAATTTTGGATCATGTAACACACCAAAAAAATTAAAATGGTCGTCATTTATGTTATCCCTTATCTCGATTTTTGTTGATCTTATCCATCATCTTTTCCATTATAAATTATTCTAGAAGTTAAAACAATTTTGTTATTTTTCTAACGGAAAGAGGAAAACTTGCTATAGCTAGGGTACATTGAACTTAGAATTTCAAAAAAAAAAAAAATGGTTTTGTTTTAAAACTCTTAGAATTATAATTTTTAAAAGCCAAGTCCGAGATACCCAGTTAGTGTTAAATTTATTTTTTCAACAAATAAAAACAATCGAAATCAGTTCATTCTACGAATAATGAAAAGAATACAAAAAAAAGTAAATGTCGAGTGAAATGCTGGTTTTTTTTTACGGATTAATTGTTGCTATATATAATTTTCAGTAAATTGTGCGAATTATTTCGGATTTTTTTTAAATGCTCGTCTGTCCGGAGCTCATGACGTGCACACGTGCCAAAAGTCAAATGTGCGTGTAGGCAGTGACGTTCATACGTTAACAAGTGTTAGGAAACGATAAAGTTATAATCACATTACAAAAGTGTACGGGGCTGATGGACAACGTTAGTAAAACTTCTTATAAAAGTAATGATTTATTATACATTTAATTCATTTAGTGTAGTGTATTTTCTAAAAAAAAAAAAATCGTCTCTATTTGGTGCATGAGATAGATCATTCTTCAGCGGTTTTCATAATAATCGCAAAAAAACCGGTATCGCCCATCGGAAGTATCAGCTCTTTTTTATTATTACGAATTTGCTGTTTTTTTTTTTTTTTTTGAATCTAGAATTTATTTTCTCGATGCACAATACAATAATAATTCAGCTGGCGAACAAAAAAAAAAAACTTTTACATTTTCCGATGGATTTTCGCGAAACTATTTAAAAGCAAAAAAAAAACATTCAATTCTAATATTTTGCACAGTAAACGTGCGTTCTAGAGTTACAGAAATAACGGGCGGTGGTGTGAAGTAACAACTGCAGTAAAAGTGTTTTAACGTTTGGCAAAACATCTTGGCCGTATTGCATCGCTTCAATTGTAGTTTGTGGCGCGCATTTTCCATGTCCCTCAATTGATTAATTGTCCGCACGTGTAATTCAGCACTTAAGCTAGATAGTCGTTTTTGTATGCTACGAAATAGAAACGCTGAACAGGGATGGAAGACCTTCGGGACACTGCCTAAATACGCCACTGCAGTTGCGCGTAGTTAAAATTCATACAAACAAGCGGTTTTTTCCTTCTTTTCCATGCTATTTCGTAGTCGCATTTATAATATTGTTCTCCGTATGTATTCATATTTTGTTAAAATCGTTAATAGGTCGTGTAGCGATAACCATATTGTAATAATATGATGATGTAATAATCTTACCGAAGGCAAAATTACCGCCGATCGATTGCCGTTAAAAATCGAAATAAATTCCACTTACCTTACTGTATAATATGGGAAGTACACATCGATGTTAAAAAATAAAAAATACGAAATACAAAAATATCGAGTAAATTTATCTTCACTTTCAACGATAGATATTATAGTAATGTAGATATTATTTCAAACTAATAATATTATATTACAAAATGATGGACGTGACGTCAGTAACGCCGCGGCATTGTAAACATTTTATGTCTAATGGTGTATAATTTTTTATATCTTTTTTTTTTTTTTGTTTATAGCTTTTCGGTATATTGTGACTTAAATTCGGACGTCAGTGCAGAGACGGGTCGGTACGGTTACCGTTCATTTATTTCAAAGCGTACTACCTCCTAATTTTATTAAATGTATACGATACTTGGATCGTATTATACGCTGTAATTTTACGTTCGTCTTTGGTTGTTTTTATTTTAAAGTTATTATTATTATTATTTTTTGTTTTTAATTTTATTTTATCCCTCGAGAGAAAAAACTTATAATAATTATCAATTATTATAATTGACAATACTTATCATGCACACGGGTATACGGCGGTGCGCAATACGACTATATATTCTCGCCTTACGAGTATTTCGTTAAATTTGTTTTGTCTTTTTAATAATAATATCAAGAGTGCCCGACACAATCCATTGTAATATTATATTGTTGTATACGTCATCATATTCGAAATTTAGAACTTGTATTGCTTATTTCTCACAAGCGTGGCGTTAAATCATTTAGATAGCGGAACGCTACAGACATTTACGTCGTGTTACAACGAATTCAAATAAGATATTCAAAATTCCTTCCTTTTTTTGACTTTTTTCGATATATTTAAAAAATATATTCATACAATTTTTACTAATTTTACTATGCTCGTTTCGCATATTTTCCATTTTGCGATTTCGTAAGCCGCTGACAAATTCCTGATTCCCCCACACCAGGGTTTTAAATTAAACGCGCCTTTGTATTCAATTAGCCAACTCTTAATTCTTTATTTGTGTTATCTTATCTACTTGTCGTATTATTCGTCGTCACAAAGCATGACGAGGCCACGAGTGTTGTTTTGAATCGATTCAAGAGTTCAAATATAAAAATACTTTTTATTTGACTTGTTTCAATAATTTTAAAAAAAACACGTTTTTCGCTAGTTCTTTTACTAATTAAAAAAAAAAAAAAAAAATTATGTATATTATAATTATTTAGAGCCATTGTTCCAGCTATCGGTTCTGTGTCGATTATTTTTTTTTAGGAAGACGCGTAATGCTCGAATTTACTGTCTCAAGTCCAACTATTGGTCAACATAACAAAATTACATAACTTTTAGAATTAAAACAGCGTTTAAAAGTTAAAATTAAAATCTAAACATAAGTAATGAAATGTATAGAGGAGAATATTTTTTAGGCCATTTTCTTCGCTAATATATTGTCAAACAAAAGAGTGTTACAGCCATGTTATTTTGTTTTTTTACATAGCTTTTATTTGATTTATTTTCGTGTAACATTATACATCACATGCCGTGGCGAGCAATTTCGAATTAACAATAGAATAAAATTGATCGGAAATTCGAAACGCTTGCACAGGTTACTAACACGAAAGTACATACCGACCGAATAATACTCGATTTGTGATAACGGATCGTAAACGCATTAACCGCGGTCACCCATACAGACAACTGGGATTTTAACAGACCGTCAGTTAACCTAACCGGTGTTATCCGTAATCAAAGATCGTAAATTATTATTGTGATACCATGGTTCATTTTAGAGTTACGTCGGTGTCGCGGACCGTGTAATAATGTGTAAAGGTCGCCGTGTTTGTTGTTTTACCGTCGCGTCGGCCGTGCGATATGCTTATAGTGAAAAGTATTTATTTTTTTTTTTGTTTTTGTTTTTTATTTCATTTTTTTTTTCCCAACACCTGATTGTCACTGGCACAGCCCGATGGGCCTATAGACAGGCATTGGCGATGGTGGACAAGTGCAGGGCGGATGACGGACGACCGCTTTGGCATTACTAACTACGCTATGCTACACAAAACTTATTCTTGTCCCAAGCGCCCGGCCTCCCGGTAATTTTGGCATCTCCAACCGCGGATGACACCAGACCAGACCGGCGTCTTTTATCTCCGGCATTATAGTGGATACCATCGTTTCTACGTTCTACATTAGCCATAATAATGATAAAAAAAAAAAGTGATCATACAATAATAATAATATTACGACGTACCTACATACTTCCTCTGCAGAGCTCTTGTAATTTGATTATTTTCTCTCTCGTGCAATCCCGTGCGTTAGTTCGGTATAGAGAGTGGAGTTCCAAACAGAATAAATAATTTCACTGCACAAAAAAATTACAAAGTTACAAGTTAGATACACCTAATGATTAAGCGAAAAAAGAGCCGAGTTAACGATATTCAAATGTATAATACATTTTACAAGCATTTAAATGAAAAAAGAAATTTTTTATTTTTATAAAACTTTACATTTTCCTCTGGGACTTCGAATAAATACAATATTCCCAGTAAAAAATATAACTGCCATTTTTCCAATGCCGATACATCTACAACTTCATCGATCGTAACCGACACATATCTATGTGTATATTGAGGAGAGCTAATCTATGTTTATTTTGTTTGCCAAATTTATGTTTTTAGAATACATTTTGAAATTTTGAAATTACAATTTATAAAAGATAAACAAAAAAATTTATCTAAATATTTTATATTCTGAGTGAAGCAAAGAAGCTTATGGTTTTACAAAGATGATTATTTTTTATTTTTTTTTTATCTTTGTGCAATTTTTCTGCTCTGATTTTTAAGTGTAGCGCCTTTTCTGAAAGGAAAGTGGTATGGGGAGGTACTTTAGGGAGGCCATTTTTCAATTTTCTCAAGATTTTTAACAGAAAATGTAAAAACCCGGGATAAAACATGGAAAAACCGGAGAAAACGTAAGAAAACTAGGAAAAACGATACAGCATTATAAAAATATTATTAAAGAAAAAAATATTAAGCATATTTAATTATTTTACTATAAAATATCACATATATTATTGACAAAGCATCATTATCAACTGAACTCCGCTCAGAATCGTTTTTTCTTAAGTAATGTTTTATCGCCGCTTACAAGTATACATTCAATTATCTATAACAATGGTTGAACCCGTCCCCATTCTCCTAGGATGTCTATTTTATATATTTTTTTTTTCAGCTCTGTTTTGTAGCTCTGTATCATCAATAAAATTACTATAATCAGATTATTGTAGATTCTATTGTCAATGATAATTGATAATACGCCATAAAAGTCATTCTTTAAATTATCATCTTTAAAATACTTAAATTGGCTGGGTGTTACCATTGGATAACGTTCCTAATCTTAAGATACCCTATTAATTTTATTTATTTGTTAAACATGTATACGATTTAAATGGTGGTAAGGTGCGAACTCGGAATTCACTTCCTCGGTCGAGCCGATGTCCATTACAATGCATGTAATTACTCGCAACGGCAGGTTTTTTTTAACAGTTTATATTAAATTAAAATGTATTAATTTAACGCGCGTACGTAAAATATACGCACGGCGAAATGTTATTTTCGTAAAAAAAATATATATATATAATAATAATGATAAAATGAAAAGCCTCCCGAGATTTGGCATTGGCGGTTCAAAAGTAAAAATCATCCGTTATGCTGTCCGTCGTCGTCGTCGTCGTCGTTTTTCGAGTTCTAAAAATACGAGTGCGACAACGACTACGACGACCGTTTTCGTTAATAATAATAATTTCTTCGTACCGACTAGACGAATCCATATGCAAGTGTATACCGTGCGTTGTATTCGAAATAAATGACACGCGTTCAAACACGTCCCCGCAGTTCGAGTGTAGGTAATAAAAATGGCCGAATCAGTAATGGCCACGGAGAAACATCGTCAAAATGTCATAATTCGGGTTAAAAATAATCGTAGGCACCTAAAACTTGTACAGAATACGTCTTGTATTAGTCTCTTCAGTAGACGCGGTACGATTTTAAAATATCGTGTCAATTTTTGAGCTATTTATAGGCATTTGACTTGGTTTTTTCGTAATTTGGTTTTTCGCGGATAAAATTGTTTAGTCAAACAGAAATGCGTAAAAATTCAACACGAGGTTCATTATAAATTGCGCTAAATGAAGAGAACAAAAGTCGAGATGAAAAAAGTGAAAAAATCTTAAGCACGGCCGTGCACACCTATCATCAGTACCGGCTGTTATAGGAGGATCATCAAGATCCCATCACGTCGAAAGGACAAAAGAAAAAATTATTGAACAGCACACCCCGATATGACCTATTACTACAGCGTACGGCGTTTATAGTGATTAAAAACAAAAAAAAACGAAAATACATTTTTTGTGTTCGGGTAGAAAATTCTGAGGAAAATTTGTCAAGCTATCAAAAAATATATTGGAAATCGACAAGCGAATAAAAAATAACGCGGAACTAGAATCACTGTGTCCAGAGAACCAGACGTCATTAGACGTATTAAAAATACATACAAATGATATATGTATCCGAATCGTGGTTCTCATGTGCCCGAATTGATTTCTGTTTGAAAAAGGTATTTTCTGATGGTGAGCCGAATGGGTTCACGTTTAAATTTGTGATGTATCCACTACTGGTCGTATTGGTGCCCACTGTTCATAGTAAGATAGTCAAATACGTAAATTTCCCTTCCCGTTCTTAAAGGCTTAGGACTATCAAATTAGAATCACTTTTATTACTAGATTTTATACTAGAAACATTTCTGTACAGATACATGTATCCAGATGAACTGACGTTATATCTTAATCGATTGCGGTATTTTTGCAATACGCCGGTATAACATTGTTTTATTACTTTATTAATAACTGTAAAATACTCGCCAGAGTATGATAAAAGTTTAATAAAAGTTTAACAATGTACTATATTTATACATGCCTGCATTTATCGTGTTAATTCTTTGAAAGTATAGGTTAATACCGTTTAATAACGAGAACAGATTCGGCAAGTGGGGTATGAGCTCGGGAACCAATTTGGATACATCCTAAATAATATAGGCAGAACACGCCTAAAGAAGCCAAAACCCGATACTATTCACGCGGTGTTGAAAAGGACGAACCGGCTGTCAGGGAAAAGACCGTTCGGAACGAATTTCGCACAATAGTGAATCCCGAAATATATACAATTATAGTCATGATGTAAGATAAAAATCTATCTTTCTTATTTGTATGAAACGATAGCGAACTTATGAAGCCCGGCGACAACTTTTACATAGATTATTATTGCGTTAGTATTATTATTTGTAAACCCGACGGAACACGTGCCGCACCATATATAATATTCTGTAACCGCGCGGTATATAACCCCGGAATTCTCGTATTTTCCTGGGGAAGAGTACAGAAAACTTTATAACACCGCGTGTATATAAGACGAACGCACGCACGTATAGCTAAATGCCTGAACCCGGCAACGTAATATTTTGCCGCGCGAAGTGTTACGGTAAGTTCGCGAAACGTGTTGCGTGTCCAAAGAGAATTAACCTCTGGGTAGAGAAAGAAGAGGAAGCGAACCAAAAAAAAAAAAAATAACAATAAAAATATAACGACGAAATATTACAGTGTTTATTAAAGTTTTTGTTCGATTTTTTTTTTCTTTCAATTTTTCCGCCCCCGGGCGTACGCGATGAATACGGTTTAAAACTTTTATTTATTCGTTTGTCGTCCACCGTCTACGCAATACCGTCTTCTAAACATACAGTAATAATAATATTATAGGCGTACTGCAGTTTCTTATTATGGCACGAGTTTCAGTCACTGCCTATACAATAGAATTCCTCCCTGAAGTGCTAAGTATAATTTTTGATTTAAAAAAAACAAATGTCCATTCGGTTTAAAACATAATGTGCTATATGTATTTTAAACAATACTTAGTTTTATTTTCACTAGTCAAATTTCACTGTTATAATGTTACAGACATGCGTTTAAATTAATCATAATAACAGATTTGCATATTATTATAAACCAAACCTATTTATTCCGTAAAAATTACGACAACATATTTTGACGTTTTTGATTTTATAAAATTCAGTCCTGCCATTGCAGATCTGGTAAATCGCAAAGTCGGTACTTAATAATAACATTAGTAATATGTGGCCCTATATACGACGATATAAAAAATAGCTGTCGATAAAGGCACAACGCGGAGCTGTGCGATATAGTAGATCACAATCTGGTACCGGTGATTAACTTTATAAGAGGGCAAAAGTAACAATATCTAGGCTGTATAACGAGAAGACGAGACAGAAATCCCGTTATAGAGAGACACTGGAATGGAAACCCTAGGGAAAATAAGACTCCCGGTATACCTAGGAAAAAGTGGATTGGCGTGAGTTAAGAACCATATGAATGGACGAATGGAGAGAAATAGTTCGTGATAATATAGGGACAAATGGCAGCGAAAACTCTAAGCGAGTAAAATAGTAACTAGCAATGTAGTAACTATTATTATTCGGGTGCACACCGGTTCAATTAATTTACCAGTACAATACCAGTATACATTGTATTATACAAGTTTTATTGTTTAATTTCAACTATTTTTTCAAAGCATACAATTATAAACAGAATAGATGTTAAACATTTGAATGTTCAAATACTAATATTTTTCATACACGTACGATAGATTCGGCTGACGATCGCCCACAAACAAACAAACAAAAACACTTTATTGTATGATATGAATTATATCATCTTCTCTGTACGATATTATTTTAATGGTTATATAGGATAGAATTATCATTATCGTTGTCTTCGTTATGATCACACTGATGGTATTAAGCACACGTCAATTCGTTATTGCCGTTACGCATGTACGAACAGAATAATTATCTATTAACGATTACGAATATAACGATGTACAATCCGAAACAGACGATATATGTGAAAGCAGCAAACAGTGATTTGACTACGAGGTAATAATCCTAGTCGCAGGAATAAAAATAATTTTTACCGTACGAATTGAGAACTATCCCCGAACTACGTGTATCCGATATCATTATGTCTTTTGTCTGTGTTATATCTTTATCGATATCTTTTGGCACGGTTCTCCAAAATATCGAATACAATAATATCTGTTCTTTAGATTATTATTGTAATAATTATTGTAGAATATAGATAATATAAAATACCTAGTGTATATAAGATTAGGGTATAGAGTGTAACACTGTTTGGTATACCTGGATTTCAAAGACTTAAACTAAAAGGCATTACATAAGAACGGGGCACCTTTCTCCCCCTACCATCCCCCTTTTAACCATTGATCATGGAAGAATAACTGCCCGGCTTAAAGATTAATACGAGTATATCACGTAAATATTATAATTAATATATAAATATATTATGTTTATAATATTTACGTTTAAAAATTATTTTTCTCGAAATATCCTATACGCGATATTGACCTCGACGATACGTTCGTGTTAAAACGATCGCGGAAAATACAGTCGCCGTCGTCATATATATAGCTAAAGAAATATTATAACGATATTGTCTTAGATCCAGAAAACTGTCATCGAATGACCGACTAAAAAACTATGTGAAAATAAAAATAACCCGTCAAAGTTTAAGCCCGTATTCGACCGTAATTATTATTTGTATTATTAAGCCACTGAGCTTAAGCGTTAATTTTCGTACGTCGTCTCCCGGTGATGATATTTCGCCGATGCCGATCGCCAAGTTTCTATTTGTTACAAAATATACAAACTTTGATGTAAAAAAAACCGCACATTACGATAAATTTGGCGAAAGTAAAATGTTTGTCGCGAAAAATTTCCTGGACGCCGGCCAGCCAAACACTTTTTACTTGTATTATAATAGGTACGCTGCATTAGTCGCGAGCGATGAAATTTGCCCGCGCCGAGACATCAGCAATCGCGTGTAGTGAGTTTTATTTACCGCGAAAAGTTAATAGCCGGATGAACGGTCGAATATTGCCGTAAACAAACCGTGCCACCGGACATAATCTGTGGCGGAATTAATCTTCGGTCCTGGGGAAAAAGAGCTTAACATGTTCACGGCCGGAGAGTGAATTCGAGTGGCCCGAGTAGACCGTGACTTATAAAACGGTACTGTATTAAATCTGAACTAACGATACCGATACCAACTGGTATCTATCGTCCAAAATTCAAACTGGCTATTCAAACCGATACCTCAATTAAATCGCTTAAACAAACCAACGAAACATAATATACATATATATATATATATTATATTCTGAGTGGAGCTAGGAATATGTATTGGTTTTACAATATTTATTTTGTTTTTCTTTGGACAATTTTTCTACTATCTTCCCAACTTCTCCCCAATAACAGTGGCTACACCCGTCTCTATTATCCTACTATCCTAGGACAGTTTTTTTAATAATAACAATTCAAGACACCCGTTTATGGTTCAAGTACAATTTTAAAAATCACCGAACGACATAATGCCATATAATTTATAAAATATGTCCTAACCTAAATAATATGGCGTTTTAAATATGGCCAGAATCCGATAAATTATAACACGATCTTTAACTATGTCGTAAACTCATCCATTATTATTATCTATTACAGCAATATTATCAAGAGGCAAAATTTGTTGTTTTTTTTTTTTTTTTTTGTACGCATTTAGGGAGTAATTTCCGGAACTAAAGGACCGATTTTCAATCGGCTTTTTTTTCGTACCCCCGGAATATTTTTCTCACCACTAAGCTAACTACATAATATTATAACAGTATTATTGCTATTGCCGCAAACGACACGTTCTATAAAACAATAATAATAATAAATCGTAAACCGTTCCGAGCCGGCCTGCCGCTATTTACCTGCTGTAAAATCGAATCGTTTTGTCGCCGCCGCCACCGTCGTCGTCGTACATTTATAATAAGCGGCGTAAAATAACAATAATAATAATAATAATTGTATAATGTGCAAGACTTTTACGTGTCTCGTCGGATTTTATACCACATGCTATATTATTATCGCAGTAACGTTGCTACCGGCGGCGGCGCGCGTTTTGTACGTCGACGACCGCCGAAAGTCGCGAAAGAAAAATGAAAGAAAAACAAAAAAAAAAAAAAAAACGATAAATCAAGCCTGGTTATCGTAAATATTATCTTATTGGGGCGAGATTAATTGTTTTAACGTAATAATAACGCGTCTCCCAGCGCGCTTTGTTTTCGCGAACCGCCGTTTACGAAACACAATCGCGTAATATGTGTTGACGACATTACGTGTCGGTATATTATATAATTTCTCCGGCACAATGATCTCGTTCATTATAATATCACGATCAACTTCCGTATGCAAAATGTGCGCGAAAATTAGTTTTTTATTGGGAGGGGGGCTAAGGGAGGATTTAATGTTTAGCAAACTTCTCGTTTTCGTTAAAAAAAAAAAAAAAAACAACAATAACAAAGAACATTTTCCGTAAATCATTAAGATGACTGAAAGATCGTATGGTGAAAAAAAAATCAATACGTATACGGTTAACAAGTAGATAGTTGTTGAAGACGGTATCCAGCCAAAATAGCGAATGTAAAAATCATGAATTAACAATAGCCAAATTAAAAATAGCGAATTTTAAAAAAGAGCGAAAATACACAATAGTGAAAATATAGTATATTTTTTGAATACGGTCATTATAATGTTAATGTCATTAAGTTCATTAGATATTTACATCGGTTCGAACAAAAAAACTGATAGGAAAATTAAAAAAACAATATCCAAAAATATACTAATTGAACGCAATTTGCTTTCAGAAAAGATGTTACTATTGAACATTTATTTCTTGTAAAAAATTTGCTAACAGACAAAAAACAGACACCTCATAGTACAACCAATATATTCTTTGCTGCGCTCTAAATCTAAAAATAACTAGAACAATAACGAAATAGTCTATTTTAAATTTATTGGCACGCCGAAAAAAAAATATTTGGAGTTTATTAATTCGATTGTCACGGGTGACACATATAATATAAAAACGGTTTCCGTTTTGATTCGATCGAAGGATTTCAAATGGTGTTTCTAAAATTTACTTAGCGAGAAACAGTGTTTCTACAACAATTGTTTCATCGTTATGATGTCAATTATTCAGAAGAATATGACCACGGATAGACGTAAGAGCTGGATGCATTTTAAATATCTAGATTAAGATGAGAGATAATTGCTAGAATGATTATCTATAGATAAAAATATAAAATACAAATAACAATTTAATAAAATAATAACAGACGTCAAAATTATATTCTTAAAGTAGTAAAAGTGTATCAAATTCGATACACATCTATAGATGTAAAAAAAATTGAATGGTAGGTAACTTAATAATTTTTATTCATTTAACCACATACTTATAAATGTCTTTAGCTTAAAGTTTACCTATTGTTTTCAGTATATGTATTTTATAAATTACGATTTAAAACAATATATTTATTTATTTATCCCAGATAACTTTCATTTATCGTTTATCTAAATAGGATATGAATATATCTAGCAAGATAAAACACAAGACCTACTTTTGGTACAACCATAATATTATATTTCTTTGCTCTGTCAAAAATAAAAATCATAAATTAATTAAAAGCAAAGTAAAACGCCATAATAAAATACCTTTACAGTATCGTAATAAAATTTTGAATGCTTATGAAAATTCGTATTAAAACGTCACGTCTCTAATCCGCCGCTTTATTTTATTATTATTATCGTTATTATTGTACTGTAGTATACATAGTGCAAACTGACAAACTTTTTATTGTGGGCGTTGACGTATACCTACAAGTTTGCAATTGGTATAATTATAAAATGTTTGACGTAACAACGTGAAACCTTAGAAATAAGAAGTACAAAGTTTATTATGCTTACTTTGTTTTCTGATTTTGCATTTTTCGCCCCGTCGCAGTGAGGCTTAGATTGGGCTAGGTTAGGTTTTATACCGAACAGTGCATCGATATAAAACCGAATCCTATATTCAATTTCGTTACATTATAAAAAAATTTAACGAAAAACTACGCCAGACGCTCGCGACGATATTATCCGGTCGTTAACAGTGCCTAATAATAAATTTATCGTCAACCGGATCGATTGCGGAATATTGTTTAGCCGATGTCCGGGGACATCCGCGGTCGCTGGCACCGGTACCAATTCCGGAAAAACGGCGAGTTCGAATTTTAATACAGTGTGTCAAACGAAGATAAACCCATTGTAATATCTCTGGAAATAATAAAGATAATGAAATCACCTGGTTTTTTTTTTATTATTATTATTTTACTCACAGGGATAAGAATTTAAAATATTTATAATTTTGCAATTCATATTTTATGTATTGATAAAAAAAAATACTGTTTGTTGTATTATTTTTGGAAAATTTAAAAACAGCTATTTTATAGATTTTATTCTTTTGAAAATTTTGACATACCAACTTTTTATTTTCATTAAATTCGTTATTTTTAATAATCGTTTAAATTTCAGAGAATAGAAGTACAATCAATTAGTCTTAATAATAATAACAACAATCAATTAACGGTAGCAATTACAGCCTGCTTCATAATTATAAGATTTCTCTCTGAAATTTAAAAAATTAGCGAAATAGGCTACGCCACTTTACTATCCATCCGAAGATATTACAATGGGTATACCTTCATCGGAGACCCTGTATTTACTGGAAAATTAATCGAACGTCTCAGCCATTCGTCCCGCAACAGTGTCCCGTCAAATTAATCGTCGTAGAATTATTTAGCTGTCGATTTTCGAAACGCGTGTTACCCGCTTGACGAGCAGTCAACATTGTAGTGCATTCATCGCGAATTCAGACCAACTTCCGATTCGAACTGTGGACGATCGGCAGTCGGCCCGAAATACTCGCGACGTAACCTCACAATACGCTATCGGTAAAGTGTGTCTACCATCTGCGTCCGGATGATTGAACAATAAACAATGGCGTTAGTCGAGCGCACAAGTATAAATATACGAGTAGACAATAATTTTGTATCGCGAAACGAAAGATTCCGCCACAATAAATTGTCCAACGGACGGTTTTTAAAAACGGGCGTCCGGGAATCGGGCCACAACGGGCCTTTTTTTTTTTAATCGGTATGCGGTATTTGGGCCACTAAAATTTTACATTTATAGCAGGTAGACCCGGTGATTGGGTCACTATTTTGAAAGATATTTTTAGTATTGAATCCGGTAACTGGGCCACTATATTTTAATTCATTTTTGATTTGACAAAAGGTAAATCACTAGTTAACACCACTATTACAAATTATTTTTAACCATATTATTATTTTTCCACGATTATAAATTTAAATTTCTTGTGTTCGTTATAATCGATTTATGTTGACGGCAGTTTTGAATACTGTGCAAGGCAATTCACATTATTAAAAAAAAAAAAAACTAATAATTATTTGACTAATTTTATATTGTATTTTATATTAAGTATATATTTTAATATATTTAAAATTATATATTTTTGCTTTATACATTTGTGGCCCAATCTCCGGGTACCCCTTAAAAATATACCTTCTATTTGTGGCCTATACCTGGGTAATAAAATGTATACAAATATTATTTATGAAGCAGGTCGATAAAATGTTGCCCAATTCCTGATCGCCTCACAGTGATCTGAGAATGAAATTTAGATGATCATTAAATTAGGTCATTAAAAATATTCCAAAAAAAATTTTTTTTTCTAGAATTTCATTAGTAGATGATTTCTAGTGTAACTACAAAATTTCAGTTTCATAACATTTTATGAGACCGGAGTTATAGCTAAGTGAACTAGATAAATTTGGTTTTTTTATTTTTAAAATAAAATGCTAGTAGTTCATTAATATTTTTGGCTATTTTGAATTTATATAATTTAAAAAAATGTAACATCTAAGTCGCATATTAATATAATACAATTTTTTTTTTTTAGTTTAGGACCTTAACGGTTATGAATCGTAAAATAATCGAATGTTTTTGTGTTTTTTTTTTTTTTTTCGTAGACTTCAGTAAAAATTTACTCAAGTTTACCTTATATCCAATAAATGCATTTTGTAGAAGAAGTTCTCAGCTATAATATAATATAATTTTGTATTGCCTTCCGTTACCGTTTGCAACGCAAAAATATCATACTATCATTAAATAAAAATGGTGTATCACAAGCTAAACAAAACATGGTGACGTGACTTTCCAAAATAAATAATCAAATTTGAAGTGTCACTAATGGGGAGGCTTCTTCCCATTAACTTCTTTATCACGCTTATGAATGACATTATATCAACTATTCTTGTTATGTATTTTATATGTAAATAGTTTATCTCAATATAAAAATGTGAAAAAAATATATATATGTTCAAAAAATACAATAACTATTGTGTTTCTTAATAATAATAATATTACTAGTTTCCTCGCACTATGGTTTTTCTATTGTTTTTTTTTTTTTTATTTATAACTAAAAATAAAAAATTTGAATTATTTAAAAATAATTCACAAAATCCAAGAATACGAACTCTACACATTTATTTTGAAAAAAAAAATAGTTAATGAGCCGTAGGTTTTTTACTATTTGTAAAATTGAGTTTATAAAAATCATTTACAAAACTATTTTCCATGACATGATTGGAGCTAATTGATATTATTTAATAGTGACGATTAAAACAATTTAAAATATCGGAAACTGTAGAAAATAAACGACTCGCCGTTAGTAAACATTTGAAGCACCAACATTTTATTTCAAAATACATTTTAAAATTGCTGATTTTGTAAAAAAAAAATGTTTTTAGTTTTAGTTTAATAATAAAAAAATAATAAAATCATAGCGCAAGACTTCTAATAATGATTAAAAAAAGGAAAATTGTAAAAATTTGTTTTGAACCGAACAAAAGTGATTGTATTTGTCAAAGCTCCGTAAGACATCCTGTATATGCGATTATATAATATTATACTATTCATTTTGGCGCTATCCAATGCCGACGATGACAACGGTTCCGATAATAATTAAAATCGAAACCGGTTGTCGGATTTGTCGAGTAAAATAATTTACGAGTACTGGGCGTTACCTTGAGGAAAAAAAATTGACCCGAGATACGATAAATTATGATGCAGAATCACGAAGGTAATATTTTCGCATAAAATAATGTAGAATTTATACAATTATTTAAATCAGATCTGTACGCAACGACAAATCATTGCTAATACGACTACGATTCTGAGCGAAGTTCGGTTAAACATGTTTTTAAATGTCGTAATGTTTACTGTTTTCGTCAAATTTAAATTTAATAAATCACTTATGAATAAAAACTAGTGTGTTATACTTGACTTTTTTTTTTTCAACACTAAATATAACTTATAACAAACCTCGTGTTAAAATACCAATAATTTCTGTTCGGTAAAATAATTATCACATCAAACCGAATAAAGATTTAAAAAAAAAAACTAAAAGATACCTATAAATACGAACTCGAACTAGGATATAAGTATTCAGTAAATATTACAGGTCTTTAGGATTATTAAAAAAAAAAAAACCGAAATTGAAAATAATGAAACCGTTAATAATGAATACCGCAAACCATTCCGTTCTGCATACGTTCTTTTTTCGATTTTCTCAATTATTTAGGAAACCATACGAAAAATCAAAAAAATAACCTCTTCAACGCGCTGACTATGAATACAAAATACTACAAAACAACATTCTTATTAATTTTTGATTGGAAAAAAATTTCCGGTCCAAAAAGTTGTCGGGACAGAATAACAAAATACGCTCTGAATCTAAATAATCGCACACGTCATATTATTTTAATGTAAAACAAATATAAAAACAATGAGGACGATAGAATTGTATACAAATAAAACTGCAACAACATTATCGATTTAGAATATTATGGATAATGGACATAATAATATAAAATAACAAGACGTTTAATTTGTATAAAACTTCGTTACAACTATTGTAATAAACTGATAAAAAAAAAACTCGAGAATATCTAACAGCTATCGTTATCACAACGATAATTTGACAGAATACCGAGCGTATTTCATTCACTTCGACGGCGGGATAATCTATGCAATATTCGTTTTATTCGTTTCAAATCGTATTTATTCAAGCGGTATTAATGTCTTAACGTATTTTTTCCCCCGTATTTTCAACGCAGAAACAATAATACAATTGCCTCGTTCGTATAGAATTATGCCACGTTCCTTTTGCGATATAACGTTTAAAATAATTTATTATTATTAAACAAATATTACATTTTATACTATCGAAAATAGGTCAAGGATTGGTTTTTTATAATTATATTTTTTTTTTTTATGGAAATAAACGCATGTAATCAATCACTGTATCGATTTCTGTCCCCCAATCGCGACTTTTCCGATGTTTTTTTTTTTTTTATCTACTTCTCACCAAAACCGCGGAAGAACGAAGAGGAAAAAGGTCAAAGATATAACGAGATAAAAATTGGCGGTTATTGGAAATAATAAAAAAAAATCCCTCAATACAAGCGAATCCACCTATATAGATATAGCGAAACGTGCGGTTGGCATACTGGCTATATAATATACCCATTTAGTTTCAAACTGGAAACTTTTATTATATTTTTTTACGATATTAGTAGTATCGTGATTTATCGTATTCGGTAATTTTTATTAATGCGGTAGTGCGGACAGGACGAGAAAAATATAAATATTAAAGAAACCTTTTCCTGCGGGAGATATTCATTATTCGTTTGCCTTTCATCGTCATAGTTTCTTTTCGAAATATTGTAGTATATATGAATCGTATACGTTACAATGATAATAACACAAGCACGCTGTTACTTTGATTTTTAAAATGGATGTATACTTTTTTTATATATATATATATATATATTTATATTTTTTTTAGTAATTTCACTTCTTTGATATTCTTTTACATAATATTCCCATCAATATCTTATATTATAAGTATGGTAAATTTTTTCTTCGGGTATTAATAAACTTTAGAAATGATAAATAATTCGCCGCACGAGTATTTTGATAATATTATTATGGTCTTAAAATTATTATACTGGTACCCATAAACTGGCACTGCAAGTTTGAATTTTTAATATCGGTGAAAGATTATGACGTTTTTTTTCAGTGTGCATGTAAATCATACACCCAAAATGCCCGCACAAATCATGAAAACGAAAAAATAAATCGTAAGAAATTAAAGAACGGATGTCTTTTGTTTTTCTTTTTTCATTTTATCGCTTTTGAGAAAACATAATAATAATTAAAAAATTATGTTTAATAACTAAATTAAATTTCCATTCGCATATTACAATATTATTCGCCCTATAAATTTCAATAATGGACTTTATTTCAGGAAATTAATTGATTTTACTTGTTATATTTTCAGTATAATAACCTTATGGTGATATTCGTTCGGATAAAAATTAAACGATTTACAATTCGGTGCGTTGATAAAATTGCCGAATAAACGTGAATCGTTAATAATAACGACGATGATAATAATATAAATGTACTTCGATGTAAAACGATCGGTGTACGCGAGATAAAAAATATAAAATGTAACGACGTCATTAATATAGTTATTTTTTTATCAATAAATTACCATATTATATAAGATTATGTGTCTTGTTTTTAGATTCTGAATGAAGTGAAGCGATTTTTGTGGGTGTGGTTCTCACAACCAACTCGATGGATCTCTATCAATCGCCGATATCGTCCAGTTCGGTCCACCTCTTAAAGCTTCCGCATTCTTTTTAATAACCACATATTTCCATCTCATTCCCCCAACGGTATTTTTCCTATCGAAATCTAGTTTAGTACAGCCCATATCGTAACGTATATTAGAATCACATCGAAATGCTTTTTTCGGAGTACATTATTTCTAGCAGTTTGTTTTCCATCGTCCCCTCTCAATGAAGAAGCTATATGTGAATCGCTTTTTGTTTGCAATAATTTATCGAGTGTATTAACAAAATTACCCTATATCCTATTTTATTTCGTATACACTTATCGACTGTCAATTACTCTAAATTTAATTTTACTTTTGTTAAAGATCCTTCGAAAAATGTACCATAAAACGAAAATGCCGGAAAAGCAAATTTAATTATAAACCTATTTGGCGCGTTTCTCTATTTTGAAAGGAGTGGTATTATATATGACTTATTTTACAGAAAATACTTTCGGTACGCACATACACAGTTCAGTTTTTGACTGATCCCTCTAAGTCCTTTGATGGGTTTAGATGGGCTTTTCGACCAAACCCCGATATAATTTGCAAAAGCTTATAGAAAGTACCTACTTGGAAACACTTGGTTACCTACTTTTGAGCATAGATAGTGACGTACAAAAAAAAAAAAAAAACATGTAAAACGGTCATAGAAAGTGTTTCTTATGGCGTCTTACTGTCATCCCGATTGCTTGGTTACCCAGCTGACCGGGTGATTTTATTCATATTCTTCGGTAAACAAACTGCAGCAGTATTGCCGTTAAAATAATATTATGGAATCGATAATTATTTTTAAATTAGTGGCCCGCAGTTAAACTCAAGTAATCAATCACCGACAACCGCCAATAATATTTTAATCGGCACGCATTCATGTCGAACCGATTGCATTCCTTTTTGCCTACGGTGACCAATAATAATATTATTAATGGTAATCTATTCGGACGAAACATAAAAAAAAATAAAAAATCTACCTTATAAAACCCGGCGTAATAATATCGTCGCCCGCGGCCGTTCAATAATACGTATTTTGTTTTTTATTCTGTATGTACCGTACGGCACTTCGGCCGATTATTAATAGTGTCAATTAAACTAAGACATAAGTGATGAACACTTACATTTTTAGATTTTAAAAAAGTACTATTTTATAATATACGATGAATTATAACCAATTCAATTTAAATGACCTAAAGTGATTTCATATATAAACGGTGTCCACCATGTTCGACGGACTTTTCTAGAGCTGTTCTTATAAAATGTTTTTCAAATTTTTCAATTTTTCCATGTAATCGGTGTTTCTTCGAGGGGATATTCCTTTTCGGAGACATTGCTGCACGTTAATTCCTTATTGCAACAGTAGTTAATTGAATATTAATTGTTTTTACACTTATTTTTTAGAAATGAAAACGGCTTTTACTAAAAAAACAATATATCAGATATAAATGTGTGATGCATTCAAATTTTTAGAATAATGTCTTTAAAAATATTGACTTTTTTGAAAATTTTGTAAAGTGAATAAATAAAGTTATTTTTTTTTTTGTGTGCGGTTAGAGAAAAAAAATAAAAATTAAATTTATTTCCAAATCGACATACCCCTCGAAGAAACACCAATTAAAAAAAAAAAAATTGAGAAATATTTTATATTAACAGCTCTCAAAAAATTCACCGAACATGAAAGGATACACTGTATATATTATATATACAATATAAGACCTATTTATTCTATTTTAAGAGAATTTCGTTTTAAAAGGTAAGTCGTTTCAAGTAAATATCAATCAAAATATCACTTATAGTTGCTAATAAAAGTAACGTTTTGCTACTTTAAGTTAATGCTACTGTTCAAATCCAAGTTACATTCTAAAAGAACAAAGATAGCATTATATTAAGATTCTAGTTAGTAGTTTTTTATGCATGTGGCGTTTCGGTCGACGTAAAATTCGACGAACTTACGTTTGTTGAAGGAGTTTTTCAAACAGAAATATTTAGAAAACGTTCAGTCCAACCTGAAATAATGATAAAGAATATAAAATGAGAAGAAAAAAATAATTAGAAATCCTGTATTGCGAAGCTTATAATATATGGTTAAAACCTTCAAAAACAGTAAAATAAGTTGGGCAGGACAGTGGAGATTAGATAATAAGGATTAATTGGACATACTAGACAGAGACCAAAAATACTACAAGAGATTCAGAGAACGATCAAGATAAAGATGTCCGAACAGAGAACATGAAAACTCAAGGTTATTGGGATTCAAGAGTACGGAAGAAACTACAAATGATTTGCAATAATGGAAGCAGTCGTTTGTTGTGGCATATGAGTTCTATTCATATGGGCCTGTAACTAAGTCAGCAAGAACAACTTACTTTAGTTTTCGTATAACTTTTATCCACTCGTTTCCAATCCGGATACCATTTCGATTGCAAGTCGACTTTGCAACTTGATAAAAACTACTATTATATTTCCATCATATAATAATATTGTAATACAGTCTTTTGAGAGGTGGCTGATTTCCATAACGACGTTACACCTAGTTAAAATAATTATACCGGGTCGTCCCCGGCGAGGGAATAAAACGAATGTGGGTGCGCTGATTTAGGTCCGTTAAAATATTAACGGTTCAATTTATTCAACGGGGCCGGTGAATAGAAATTGAACACTAAGTGCATGCAACGACCGCATAAAACTCGTATAATTATTATGTTATAACTTGTAACACACTGCATAGATAAAATATTTTAATATATACACATTTACCTTTATTATGTATAAGCAAATATTTTTAGGGATGCTTCAGCCCTATAAAATTCGGTAAAACAACATCATAACAACTTACTACTTACTACTACTAACTAATTTCGAGCGAGGTAGCCCTACTCAATATTACAAACTCCCTCCTTCCTTAAACTCGATTTTTTTTTATTTTTTATATATAAAAGACGGGTGAAATATTCAATTAATATTATATTGTTAACATAAAAGTATCGTTTAGAATGCCCCGGTTACAAATATATATTAAATATATAATATAAATAGGGACATGAATTTATATTAAATAAGGATGGTTTAACGTTACTTACAAGTATACGTTAAATTATCTATAACAGTGGCTGCACCCGTCCACATTTTCCTAGTACGTCTTTTCCAATTTTTCTTTTTTGGAAAATTTATAACATACATTAACGATTTATGAACGATGGTGAAGTCAGAATTGAGCGGACTGACTAAGTTTCGAAATAATAGCTTTTTTAAGTTCTGATATTATGCGGATATTATATGTAATGTTTAATAACTATATTATATTGTTTTCTTTAAAGTATGTTTGTCGTAGCCAAACGGTTAAAAACTACCCATTGCCATCCTAGGGTTCACGAGTTCAAACCCGTGTTTCAACAAAAAATTGTTTGCATTTATTTTTTCCCTTTTACCTAAATAGGGAAAAAAACAAATTAATTTTAGGTGCACCTAAAGACTCAGCTATCGCTCGCTCGGACTATTTAATCGAAAAATACTCTTCAATTTGTTGTGCAAACTTAACTTTTCTACCAGAAATCTTGCTCCGATGTATCAAGTGTAGCCTATTTCTGAAAGGAAATTTTATCTCCATGGTAATTTAAGGAGGAAATTGTTTAATTTTTCAAGAGGTTTTCATAATATCTGGGGAAAACCGGGATAAAATGTCAGAAAAACAGAAAATGTATGAAATGTAGGTATTAAAAGAATATGATGGCCTTTTTTTTCTGTGTATAACTTTTCTGCCAGCAATTTGTCTCCGATTTTATAATTACAGCCCTTTTTCTGAAAGGAAATCTGACAAGAAAGGACGATAAGTTACTTTAAGGAGGTTATTTTTTGATTTTTCCAATAAATAGGAAAATTATGAAAAACTGAGACAAAACGAGAAATTGTACGAAATGTATTAGGAAAATATTACCAATATATTTTCTACCAACAATTTTACTCCGATTTACAATGATAGCAACTTTTTTTGAAAGAAAATCTGACTGGGAAGGTATTTTAGAGAGTTTATTTTTAGGGAAGTCAAGAGTTTTCTCAACAAATGTGAAAAACTGAAAAAAAATGTAGGAAAAACGAGAAAAAATTAGTGAAAAACAGGAAAATTGATACATTAAACGAATATTATTAAAAAAATATATAATGCTTATTTAATTATTTTACCAGAACGTATGACGTATATATTGTTGACAAAGCATCACTATCAACTGAACTGCGCTCAGAATCATTTTTTTGTTACCAATGGTTTATCGTTGTTTTCAGATGTACATTGAATTACCTATAACAGTGACTGAACCCATCTCCATTATCTTAGGACGTCTTTTTACTTCTAAAAGTTCGTATTAATTTTGTCGAATACTCCGTTATGAGGTTTCCAATTATTTCACGCTCTCCATTTGTTTTTCTTCGTCTCCACATTCTGTCGAAATTGTCCGCTGTTACGGCACCATCACAATTTGGACCTTCTACGATAATTTCCTTTCAAACACCGAAATGTATTTTCCTCTTAACGATCAAATTTTAAATGTACGTGAAAATAAATTTCGAACCGGCAATCTTCTGGGTTCAAACATAATACACCACTATCAATGGTGTCACTTCGTGAGTTTTATGCGTGTATAACCCGAATGGACGCGGGTTACTTTCGATTCCGGACCGGGCAAATCGTATTTGTTGTAAAAATAGTGCACCAACGCAGATGCATAATGATATTATTACTTTACTGCTGTTATCTAGTCAAAACAGGCGAGACTAGAAACTTAACGAGCATCAGCGACGACCCGGTTTTACGGGCATCAACGACGATGACGTCCCCATAAAACCCGATACACTCGTGTAGTAGTGGGTCTGTCGGTCGTTTACAATTCCGACTTAATAATAATACATGCTCATACACTTATCGTACGGCATCGTCTCGCATGTCTTCGGTCCGACGGAAGAAGAGCCCAAGTCGGTTTTGTATATAGTTTATAAACAAATTCAGTTTTAAAAATACTTACAATTAGGTCTGCAACTTAGATCAAACAATTAAATTAGAAAAAACTATAAAAAAAATTTCAAAATTTGTCTCAAGCGCTTCTTCCCTGGGACTAAGATGTATATGTATATCGTATGTTCCTATAACATCTATTTTTCCTCCCGACGATACGATTACACGTGTATACTTTTTGCGCGTTTATGTTTCTGTTTTGGCGCAAAAATATTGATTGGTTGCTGATTATTAATATTGTCCGTTATTTTTCTAAAATAAAATTTTAAAGAAGTTCGTTCAAGAATGCAGTGAAAAAAATTCAACGGAACCTATTTTGATTCATTTTTTGGAGAAACCTATTATATGAAAGGGGAGGCAGTGAAATCTTGAAATGTAACATCCGGACCGGTAAAATCGCCAAAAATAAAATCTTGGGACGTAAAACAGAGGAATTTAAAACCACAGAAAGTAATAACTCGGACCCAGAAACTGAGAAACATAATATAATAAATAAGATCACTAACTTCCATATTACACTAACACTTTTCGCGAAAGCCATTTAATTTCGAGACCCATTGCTTTATTATATATTATACCTATATATTATGTGATAACTGTTGTTGATAAACTGTCTTCATACCATTATTATTGCAGTAACCGAAACCACTATTGTTTTACAAATATAACAAATATAATTGCGATATTACTATCAGTTATCACAATATAAAAGTGTGCGATAAGATTCACGAGCAAGGACACCAGCGAAAGGGGCACAAGGGGCCATTGTCCCCCCTAGGATTTTCAACTGGATATACTTTTATCACGTATAACATACGATTTTTCTATAAGAACATTAAATATTTTTAGAAAAAAACGTTTTCCCCGTTTTGCCTCGAGTGGGCAAGATTTTATCCTTGTTCACGAGATTCGAATTAAATGACGTATTGAAATTCATGTCTTATCACTAGTTGGCAATATAGTTTATTATGTATATCTGTACCCAGACCAGTAAAATCAGGGATCATACAATTCTGTAGCCGGATTCTGATCAAATGTATATATAACCACCTGTAAAATACATTCTTTCGAATAAAAACAAATTTATATTTATTTGCAGTACAAATGTATGCATATTTACTAGAATAAAAAAAAAACACATTCTCCTTGAATACATAACCTCTTCTTTTTTTTTTTTTTTAA